TGCGGCGGCGGCGGCGGCGGCGGCGGCGGCCGCGGGCTCCAGCCCCGGGCCATCGCTCCAGCCCCAACTCACTTCCCTTTGGCAGCGACCGCCGACACCGCCTGCCAGTAAGGCGCGCTCCCATTGGCCGCCCATCTGGTGACGTCATGCGAGGGGGCGATGGGGAGGTGGGATGTTAAAGGATGCAGGCTCAAGCGAGGGCAGGTCCCACCTGCCAGTCGAGGAGGCCCCGCCCCCGGGAGGGTCTGGGACCTGTAGCTCACCTGACAAGGGCGAGTTTTTCTTGAGGAGCAGGGTTGGGCCAGGCAAAGCATCCAGCTGCTCGACCTGCTTGGGAAGTTCATCAGCCGCCCGGGCCCCCCCCAGTTGTGACTAACCCAGCCTAGAGGCTCCAACCCTCTGACTCTCATGCTGTTCATTAAAGGTTTAGGCCTGTTACAGATTAATGACCCGGTTGAACACGTTCATTCATTCATTCCGTAAATATTTACTGAGAGATTACCATATATCAGGAGCAGTTCTACCGCTGAGGATTGAGCAATAAACAAGATAACCACTATCCCTGCCTTCCTGCATAGGGTTGCCCAATTTAGCAAATAAAAATACAGGACACTCAGTAACGTTTGAATTTCAGGTAGACAACGAATATATTTTTGGTATAAGTATATCCCAGGCAACGTCTGGGACATCTTCATACTTTTAAAAGTTAATTCTATTTTACCTGAAATTACTTTTAACTGGGTGTCCTGTGTTTTATCTGCCAACTGTTTTCCTGCAGCTTATACTCGAGTGGGAGGACAGCAATAACATAAAATGTCAGGAGATGATAAATATTATGAGGAAAACTGAAACATGATAAGGGGACAGGGAGTGCCTCTGTGATAAGGGGACCTTTGGTTAGAGATTGGGAGGCAGTGAGGGAGTGAGCTGTGCAAGTGGCCAAGCGGAAGGAGTGACCTGGAAGACCTGCTGTGGCTGGACCTGAAGAGCAAGAGGAGAGCGGTAGAAAATGAGGTCAGACAAGCATCAGGGGCAGATGTTTTTTAAAAATTTTATTTATTTATTTATTTATGGCTGTGTTGGGTCTTCGTTTCTGCACGAGGGCTTTCTCTAGTTGCGGCAAGTGGGGGCCACTGTTCATCGCGGTGAGCGGGCCTCTCACTATCGCGGCCTCTCTTGTTGCAGAGCACAGGCTCCAGATGCGCAGGCTCAGTTTGTGGCTCACAGGCCCAGTTGCTCCGAGGCATGTGGGATTTTCCCAGACCAGGGCTCGAACCTTTGTCCCCTGCATTGGTAGGCAGATTCTCAACCACTGCGCCACCAGGGAAGCCCCAGGGGCAGATCTTGTAGGGCCTTATGGACCACTGTGAGGACTTTGGAAAACCCTTGGTGCTTTAAGCTCTGGCTTAGATTTTTAAAAGATCTAAGCCACTGTGTGGAAAAGAGAATCAGGGACCAGTGAGGGACAAATAAAGATGATGGCAGTTGTGGAGATGGTGAGCATTCCGGATGCTTCTTGACCACAGAGCTAACAATATTTGCTGATGGATTACAGAGAAGGTGAGCAAAAAAAGAAGAGTAATAGATGACTCCAGGGTCTTAGGGTGGAACAGCTGGAAGAAAGGAATTGCTGTTTACTGAGATGGGAAAGAACAGATTTGGGGCAAACTTGAGAAGTCAATTCAGTATTCAGATGGACTGTTTGGTATATCTATTTGGAGTTCTGGGCAGAGGTTGGGGCCTGAAATGTAAATCTGAAAGTCATCAGATGTAGATGGTATTTAAAGCAAAGTGCTTTGAACTACTTGGAAAAAAGTCACTTAAAGTAATTTTTATACCCACATTCTTAGTGTGGCAATCACACTGTCTTTGTCTAGGGATACCCACCCAAAGTCTGGGTCTGTCTCTTATTTATCTTTATGCATCTAAACCAGAGGTAGATGATCCAATATATATGTGATGTCTACATGAGTGGGCAGAGTTATACAGAGGTATGAGTGGAGTTTTGGGATCAAGAGATCTGCAGTGAAATCATGCTTTGAATATTTGCTAACTCTGTCAGCATGGAAGCCATATAAATTCTGAGCTTCAGTTTTCCTCTCTGCAAAATGAGGATTAATATCTATTTCACAGGACAGACAAATGAGAAGATGCTTGTGAAAGTGCTTTTGAAGCCCCCAAACATGGGCAGTTATTTTGGGGTTTTTTTGGTCTCCTTTTGTTTCTAGAGCTGCACTGCCCAATATTGTAAGTAGTCATTAGCCACATATGGCAATTTAAATTTACATTTAACTTAATTAAAATTAAATTAAAAGTTTAAATTAGTTCCCCAGTCTCACTGGCCACTGTGCTCCACAACCATATGTGGCTAGTGGCAGCACAGAACAGTACATTTCCATCATTATAGAAAGTTTTATTGGACAACTCTGCAGTAGCACTTCCCTGAAGGTCTGGGGATGGACGAGAAAAGGTCTTGACTTCAAGAACCATTTCACAAACAAACCCTATGTTCATAAGAAGACACAGGCAAAAGGGGTGACTGGCCCAGGATGGCCCTTCCCATGGCCCTCCTGTGCTGTATATGTTGCATGTTCACCAAGGGAACCAGGGGCTGAGGAACCCAAGGGAGTAAGGCGGAGCCAAGGATGTATCACCTAGTTACAGTGACATCTGGTCAGCCAGGCCCTGCCCTTTCATGCAATGGACTGGTCATGGGTGGGGAGGCTGGAGGAGGGTAGTTGAGAGCTAATGGGATGCTTCTGCTGGATCTACCATTCAGTCCCTCTGTCTAACTGTTTGTCTATTGGTCTATAGATAACACACCCTTCTGTGTTGGGTAAACAGCCAATGAGATGCTGAGTTGTCCTTTGAAAACTGATGGCCAGATGTTTTTTTCTCTCAGGAACTCTTGGTACCTCCCTAGCCTCCTCTCTCATACCTGGGACCCTCAAGGCCAACGATTAGATTAATCCAACCATCTCAGAGTGAGGGCTCCTGCACTGAGGAGCCCATGGTGACCTCCTACACCAGGACTCCTCAAGGTTGTAATCCATCTTTTCATTTGGGGATGTTCATATTATGATCTTGTGTCTAGGGAGGCCTGTTACCCATTCAAAACTTGCCTGAAACACAATGTGATCTTAGGTAAGTCACTTTGCAGCTCTGGTACTCCAACTTTCCTGTTTGTAAAATGAGAATAAGAATATTCCCTGCCCAGCCTTCTGCTCTGTGCTTTTTGGGGGAGGGAGCAGCATGAACATGTTTATATGCTGTGAAGTTTCATGTAGGGTGGGTGATGCCTGCTGAATCCTCCTAGCAGCTCTGTGGGGAGAGTGAGCAAGGGTGACTTCCCTGTGCTCAAAATTCCATCCTGTGTGAGTAGCAAAGCCTCTTGAGAGGCTGTGCTATCTTAGAAGACTCTACAGAGCACTTTCACTTGGGAAAACTGAGGCAGAGAGTGGGGGCCAACTTGCCTAGGGCCATGATCAGAAATGGGATCCAGGACTTCTGATTCCTGGGCTGAAGCTCTTTAAGATCTCAGAATCCTCTCTTCTCTGGGGTCGAAGTCCACATCTGAACTCTGCCACTTGGCAGCTGTGTGACCTTGGGCAAATGGCTGAGCCTCTCTGAGCCTCCACTTTTGTGAAATGGTGGTAATAAAAGTAGCCAGGACCAGCCATATAATTTGTGGGGCCCAGTGCAAAGGAAAATGCAAGGCCCCTTGTTCAAAAATCAGGAAAAAAGCTTTTTTCTGTTCTCTCATGATTTCTTGCTCAGCACATCATGCTGTTTATTGCTCACTAGTTAACGTCATGCTCCCTTGGGCGTGGGGACCCTCAAGGGGGGGGGGGCCCTTCCTTATGACTTGGCATGCACCGCCAACCCAGCCCTCTTTGTGCCTGCACCCAGGCCCCTGTCTAGGATGAGGCGGGGCAGGGGGACAGGCAGCTTAGAACCCGTCCTGGGGAGGGGGCGAGGGAGGTTAGGAGAGGCAGGACTATGTATGAGTGAAGCTTCCAAGTCCCCAGTGTATGCTCCATGTTCCATCAGACTTCACTTTCAAAACAGAAATTCCAAAATAAAATGATTAAGAATTTCAGGATGGCGACCACAGAGCATTAAAGCCCAATTGTGGGGCAAACTTCTGAGTTATGGGTTCTGTGC